GCACCAGGTGACTTCCAGAGGTGGCCTGAGGAGTCTGGAAATGTGCAAATGCTACCTCACTCGTGGACCAACCCAGCTCCAGCTTTGCAGGTCTGGGCCACTACGTCTTCTTCGGTAATGCCATAGTTCATGTGTAAAAGAGTTTGCACGCTATGTTTTTATGTTCTCTTTCCTTCAAGAGAAATTCCCTTCTTCTTGTGATTTATCTAAATGAAGGAACTCAAATTTAGCAGCAATACAATCGCTTCTCTTTCTTGCAATACAACTGATTTTTCAGCTCCATTTTTAAAGTTTTTGTTTATTCTCATTTTATTAGGAAACTGAGAATATTGAAAAAGTGGAAATTATGTATTTATGTATTTACTAAAAAGTAGAAAGTTTCATGAAAATATAAAGCCTGGGAATTTCTAAAGATAACTCCCCCTTCATTTTTGCGGGAGGAAATGATTTTTGTCTATTCTAAACAATGACGCTTAACACAATTGAAAGTTGGCACATTTGTGGTTTCCTGGTAGATCGGTAAGAGTGTTTTCCTGGTAGATCGGTAAGACATGGAACATTTCCTCTATAGCATTATGTTTACCTCTCTGGAGAGTCAGGATGGAAAGGAATTTTCATTTTAATTTAATGAATAATCAACAATGAAAAAGTCAAAATTTTTACTGTGACATTTGGGATTATGACTGGCTACTGGAAAACACACATAGTAAATTATACATAGACAACATAATATGTTTCACTTTGATATTTCCAGGAGCTATATCCCAGATATTTAAAAGACAAAAGTCTAAAAATGGTAAGAAAAAAATACCTTTCCAAGTCAAAGAGATAAACAAAAACCTTAATCACCCTTTAGTGCGGTCATTATTTTTAAAAATACCTATCTTTCAACAGATCCCCCTGGCTTTCCTGTGGAGAGTGTGGATTCTGAGAGTGGTCCCAACAGGCAGCTCCAACTACGATGAAGTCGAAAATGAACAACAGGTGCTCTGCTCCATTCCAGACCCCGAATGGAGAGTTCTGAGCATCATCAGTATCACACTGAAATACAGATTCAGCTCATTCAGCACTTCGGTTAGAATGACAGGCTTTGTCTTGGGGACAAAAGAGAAGAATTGGGGCTTTGGAATGTTCTCCCCTGGCTCAGACCATCCTTACTATCATCTGTAAAACATGTCAAGCATTACTCAGCCTCTACAGAATGCTTCTGACTGACCAATAATCTTAGCTGCTTCTGTCCTGATGAAAGGAACCCTGGTTTAAGAAGGTGAAGCACTAAAGACATAGTTCTGACATTTTCTATAAAAGTGAACAAATGTATCACCAGGTTAAAGGAATGAAATGCTCGAGACAACAAAAACTGTGACTTAGCTTAGAGCTACTACAAATTATTCCATAATCCTTGGGAGATATTGTTTCACATATGCTTCGCCAAGTGTTAATCCTTAATAAACATGCAATGCTGACAAGTAAGGAATGTTTTCTGTGGAAATATAATTTATTTGTTTCAAAACATTTACATACTTACACTCACATAATTACATAAATTAGAGTGCTTTTCAATGTTCATAATACATGATTTTATTTTTAATTAAAGAAAAAATAGAATTTGTAAGGGCATGAATGAGCTTTCAGAAAACACATTGTGACAGTGTATTGAGAAAATTATGATTCAAACCAAAGTGGGTAGGGGTAATGCATTCTACTCAGAAATGTTGCCAAATCCTGCATAAATTCTGGGTTGTCAGTTACTTTCTTTCATCCCTCTGTAGGTATTATTCAACTGACTTTCGGCTTCTATTTTTACTAAGAAGCCATTTGTTAGTTACTCTAGTTACTAAAATTGTCTGTTTAGACATGGAAATAAAGAACAAACTGACAATGGCCAGAGGAGAGGGGGTAGGGTGGTAACAGGGGAAAGAAGGGGAAGGGTCAAGTCCAAGAACATGCATAAAAGACCCATGGACAAAGACAACGGGCGTGGGGGGAGGATTGAATACGGGAGGTGAATATTCACCTCCCCTGCGTAAGGCAGGGGAGAGTACTGTATTTTGTCGTGTGTAATGTGCTCCCGTGTGTGATGCGCACCCACAATTTTGGCCCAAACCTTCAGGAAAAAAAATCTTTTGTTTTAATTTTTTAATTCAATTATTTATTTATTTATATTTAGAAACAAAACCAGTGATCATATCCCAGGGTATTATTTTACATACAGATATCATTATTGCTTTCTAAGTTATACTTTTAATGCATAAGCATAAATAAAAGAATTAAAAATATTTATAGATACCGAATTAGTACTACTCATGTATAAAGCACATCCTTATTTTTTGCTCAAAAATTTGGTCAAAAATGTGCACATTATACATGGCAAAATATGGTAATGGGGGAAAATGGGGACAACTGTAACTGAACAACAATAAAAAATTAATAAAAAATTGTCTCTGTTCAGTTTCACAGACGTGTCTAGCTGTGGATTTATTGTGAGTTATCTTGGAGGATTTATTGTGCTTTCCAGCTTTGAAAGCTCATGTCTTTCATCAGTTTTGGAAAATCCCTAGTCATTGTTCCCTCGAAGATTACTTCTTTTTTTATATTCTCCTTTTTCTTCTCCCAAAATATCCATTTGACACATATTGGGCATTTAAATATTGTCTTCTCTGTATCAGAAACTCTTTCATATTTGTGGTCATTCTGAGCTTCTAGGTGAGTTCCTTAACTCTATTTTTTTAATCTAGTAAATACTCAGCTGTGTCCAGCCTACTATTAAACCTGCCTGATGAGGTTGTCTTTTAAATAACAGTGTCTATATTGTAACTATTTCTATTACTCATTGGTTTGTTTAAAATTCTCTCTAGTCTTTTTTGATAGTAACTTGCACCTTTTCAAGTTTATTTTATGTTTTGTGTGTTTAATTATAAAAAATATATAGCTTATACCGTATAGTTTCCATTCTTCAAATTTTTGTGGATCTATTTCTATGTTGTTGCTTCTTCTGATTTTTCCTTATGTTGTTTACTTGTGTACCTCATAATTTTAACTTATGAGTTTATGTTTTTTTGGACTTTTTCTGTGGAAATTCTATGAAATATATGCTGAGACTGTATGCACCAAAAAAGTTTTTGCCTTTGTTTCTGGAAAGTGCCACAGAGCATTACCAAGCCAGTACTATAATACTTTTTCTATTCATTACTCCACTTGGCATTTCCTGGTTTTTGAATTCTGAATACTCAAGGGAACCTTTTTATTTATCCCGTGAGAAGCCTGGGCTAAGACAGATGAATTTCCTGTTGTAGTCCTGTTTTGGTAGGCGGGTTTATTTCTGTGGTTCACCTTTCTCTGAGGGCATAGCCCTCGCAAGTGTCCCCTTTGTGGAAGGTCTCAGTTCTGACTCCTGGCTTCTGCAAGTCCAAGTCTTTGTCTCCGTCGCTTGTGTCATCATTAAAGCACAAGTAACCTGTAATTCTCTGGTTTTATGCTTTTTATCCCATTTTTAACTGCTGGGATTTCCTTACGTTTCTTTCATGCTCTGCTGTACCTGTTATTTCATGTTTTACCCAGTATAACTGATTTTGTAAGGGGAGGTCTTTCAGGTTGTCTAGCCTGTCACATTACTTAAGTTCTATGGCTGTAGATACACAAAGAACACAACTTTTAACTTTGAAGAGTCTTTTTTCACCATGAAGTTAAAATGTCATGAATATCAAACAACTGTGCAGGAATTGTCAGTGGCTTAATATGTCTGGCAGATTGAAAGTGGGTGAAACAGCTGAGAACATTATGGGTTATTTTTATTGTGTCACATCAGGTTTTCACATAAAATTCAGAGAAATGCATTTACTTAGTAAACCATGTAGTTAATTAAGTATATACCTTCATCTACTGGCCAAAAAATATACTTTTTTTGCAAAATAAATTTCAGGAAAAAACCCTTCATATACTGTAGCAAAAATAGAAGAAAATAACAAACTTTAAAACACTTACAAAGTGCCATTGTGAGCCTGGATTTTCTTGATTAACTGTTACAACTCACCAAAGGGGTATAAGGGAAAATTCAGTTTTCTTAAATCCTTACTGTCACAGTGAAGCCCTGTCATAGTACTTTTGACAAGAAAACAAACACAAAAGCTGACAAAAATAAGACTGTAAACTATGCCAATAAGAGGACAAAATGCCCTAAAATGTAAGCAGGACCTAGGACAGCACCCTGTGGGAATTACACAATTTTATTTTTATGATGCAAAACACAGAATGAGTATTCTGTTTGTCAGTTAGATCCTCAGAAGGAAATAGAATCTAATTTTGCCTCATTCTTGGACTCTTTTTATAGAGATATTGAGAAAGTTACTTAGCTTTGGTAACTTTCTTCACATTTTTCTTTAAATCTTACTTTCTTAGTGAGGCTCCTCCTGCCCACCCTGCGTGGGCACTGCTGCAGCTCACCCTTCCTTCTCAGCCCCTCCCGACAGCTCAGCACGCCCCATCCTACTCTTTGTCTGTGGTATTTAGCCCATCTAATATTTTTGAACTCGCTCTGTTTATTGGTTTTGTCTGTCACCTCCCACCACCCCCAAGAAGTTAAAATCTACCAAAGGCAGGAATAGTTGTGTGTCTTGTCCACTAGTATATTGTCAACAACTAAAATTGTACAATACTTGTCACATAGTAGGTACAAAAATTACTTGAGATACAAATGAAGAATTTTTATTTCACTGCCTATAAATCAGATGATAATTTGTGGTCCATCATTTCCTTACTGAGACAGGTAGACACAGGTGAGAAATGAGTATTCAATATATATTGATTTTTCTGAAAGAAAGTTGTCATTAACAGAATAACACCAATTACCATTTTGGGAATCATAAAGCAACCTACTGTTTAAATGTCTTCAAATTTCCATCTTAAATCTGTTATTAAGCACATGGCAATTTTTCACATGCAATATCTCTTCTTTAGCAACAGAAAATATATAGCATTTAGTACTTGGGTAAAGGTCATACCTCATTCTTTTCTTTGAGTTTTGTGATCATAACAATCACAGGACTATCTTCCTGCCAAACCATCTGCCAGAAGTCATTCACAGTGTTGATCATGGGGCCTTGCGTGGCGATGAACGCTTTCTCTCTGCCACGGTAGCCCTATTTTCAGTAAAGATACAAAAAATTGGCTTTGAAGTTCATGCCTTCCACTGAAAACTTAAGTAAAATATCTTCAGAACAATATAGCTCTGCTAGTCCAAAAGCAAACAGATTTCCGTAGCTCAACTCACTCCAACACAACAATTCACCTGGCTGTTCTCCCAGGAGTCAAGCATAGCAAATGGCAGTGACCATCACGATGCTTAGTCCTCACCGGAGCACCCCACATGGGGCTCTGAGCCCACAGATGCACAGGAAAGAGAGACTCATTGTAAAAAAACCCACTACCAGAGTTGATTATGGATTATGGATTACAAACAAAAATTGGCTAGTAACCAAGTTAAGTCAAAATTAATCAATTCTAAGGAAAAAAATATAACCCAAATTCCAAATAGTAAGTTGACATGCTCATGAGAAAGAAATAGATATTTATTTACTTACTCGAACATAATTAGCATTAATGTAGGTGCTCAAAGAATCAGTTACATTTTTTGGTCTTAAACACACTCTGCTCAGGGGATCTAATGAAGAAAACAAGAAAGCATACATTAAAGTCTGCTTTCCTAGTTAACTACATCAAATGTATTACTCTTTCCCATGTTTCTCAGAACACCAATGACCAGAACTTAGCAACACTGGTGACTTATACATTGACTGGCTGGCGTGAGTCTGTGTTTGTTGTTGCAGTGTCTGTGTGTCTGTCCTTCGATGCATTTGTGTTTACTGAAGGACTTTGGGGCCCATCTTGACCCCTGTTCCTGACATGAATCTGACCCATAAGCCTGAGATGGTGAGCTTATCCTTCATGCCATTTGTTGTGGGTTTGTGATTATTGACCTCATCTCTCATCCATGCTCTTTTTCTCATTCTTTGGGTTTGGAGTTTGCTCTGGATTTCCCTGCTCTTGTCTCCCTTGTGTCCTGCCCAATGGCAAGCATTTTCTCTGAGCCAAATCCATTCTCACTGCTTGGAAGAAGCTGTCTTCACTTACCATGTGTGCGTTCACTGACAGCAGAAATACCCGATATAGCATAGATGATTGTCTTCAAGTCTAAAACCACTTTCCACTAAGAAGTTGAGAGGCTCTTCATGAACCACAGCATTGTGAAAAATACGGTAGTTACTTTTACCAACATTTACATGAAAGAATTAAGATCAAATCATCCCTTTATAATTTCTTTAACATGGTATACTCTCGAGTCTCTTCAAGGGAAGAATGGAGATTTTTAAATTCTCTTTCTGTGTGTGTGTCTGTATGTGTGTGTGTGTGTGTGTGTGTGTAAACATGTCTATGGTATTGATATAAATGGTACCTTTCATTTTCCAAAAAGCAGTTTTATCCATTCCTCTGTAGCAGTTGTTCTATTGTTCTTCTTCTCCAGGCAGGTAAATCCCATTGGTCCTACCTACCTCCTCATCTATAATTTAATCCTTGTGTGCACTCCAATCTATCCTAACTCTATTCTGTGCAGACACTGCTCTTGCTTATGCCACTCCTGACCCTTTTGTTACTAAACCCATGTCCTCTCTGTGGCATTCAAAACATATTGACCATATATTTGTTGGCAGCTCTCTCTTCCCTTGGATTCTGGGTCACTACATTCTATTTTCCTGTTCAGTCACAGCATTCCCTCGCCCAAATGTCATTCTTGGACCCTGATGGCTACAGCAGTATTCGCCGAGTGCTATCTGTAATCATTTCATCTGCAACACATAGAACTAGTCATATAATGTACAAATGAGACTATCTTTAGACAAGAAGGTTCAGTAATCAAATAAATACAGGAAATATTGAATTAAGCAAAGTTGAACTACATTCCTTTCAGAACTTCTCAAGGTCTTTATTATGCTCATGTATTTTGTGAATATCCAAGAAGGTATTAGATAAAAACTTATTTGTCCATTGGAATACTTACAATTTAGACAGCCTAGAACAGCATTACTCAAGACAACTTTCTGTGATAATGGAAATGCCTCTCTCTGTTCTGTCCATAATTGTAACCACTAGCCACATGTGGCAATTGAGCATTTAAAATGGGGCTAGTATGAACTGAGGGACTAAAGTTTTAATTTTAATTGATTTAAATTTAAATTTACATAGCCATATGTGGCTAGTGGCTGCTCTACACAGCAGTGCAGACCTAGAGGCTGGAATCCACTCCTTAGCGGGCCCAGGAGGCCTCCATCCTTTTCCCACAGCCCCATCACTTTCCCACACGGACCATATGCTCCCTTTATACAGACCTAGGGAAATCTCTCAAATATTCCATGTTCTTGCAAATTTTATGCGTTTTATTCCTCTGCCTTCTCTGTATGCTAAAACTGTCCTCATTCTTCAGAGTTCAGTTCAAGAAATATCTTCTCTCTGAGGCCTTTCCTGGACTTCTCAGAGAGAATTAGGTGTTCCCTTCTTTATTCAGGCTCACTAAGCCTCATTTTAGTATTTATCATCTTGCATTTCAGATACTTAAATTTCTGCCTTCCCTCAATGGATTGCAATGAACCCCTTGAGTGCAAGAACTATATTTAATTAACTTTTGTATCCTTTGTGATTTTTGTTTGGTGTGTGGTTCGTAGAATGTTTAATATAAGAATTAATTTCTATTAAGAAGAGTAAAACACTGCTTTTGACTTTCTATATTTTTTCTTTTCTTAACAAAGGGGACAGGAAAACTTCCATTCCTTTTCAGTATCCACTGATTGTTAGAAGTTTTCACAGAGTCTACATCGTTCAGAGTTGAAAAAGCCTATTTCCTTCAATTTTTATAATGTCTGCAATGTATATAATTTATTTGACCCTATAAACTGCTTAGAAACAGGTCCCTATCAAGCTAAATTAAGTTCATGCTAAAAACTGATAATTTATACTATTTCTAAGTACTTAAAGGTTTCCAATTACATATTTAAAAAAAAAGAATCAGCCCTGGCTGGTGTGGCTCAGTGGATTGAATGCTGACCTGCAAACCAAAAGCTCACCAGTTCAATTCCCAGTCAGGGCACAGTGCCTGAGTTGCAGGCCAGGTCCCCAGTAGGGGGTGCTCAAGAGGTAACCACACATTGATCTTTCCCTTTCTCCCTCACTTCCACTCTTTCTAAAAATAAGTAAATAAAATCTTTAAAAAAATAACAATACAACATATGACTGAGTAGGAGAAAATGAAGATTTCCAACCAAAGCATTATAAATGTTATCTTGGATTAATAAAACAGCCAAAGATTATAAATATTGTTATTATCAACATTTTAATGTGATTATTTTCATCACTACTGTTATAATTTTTCATGCTATGCATTTAAGTGTATATATTAGTCAAATTCACTATAATAATTTTTATCAAAACAGATATTTAAGTGTATATATTAGTCAAATTCACTATAATAATTTTTATCAAAACAGATATTTCTTTTTAGCATATATATTTAGCAATATATATGCTAAATATTTAGCAGACCATTTATAATACCTCTGGGCAGTATCAATAATAATTTCAAATATTAATTAAACACTGGTCATTTTTCCTGTCTCTCTTCTGTTCCTTTTTATTTTCTTATTTCTCTTCTCTAGTCTTTTTTTTACCCCTCCTTCTTTCCCTTCTTTTTTTCTTCCTGCTCTTTCCTTTCCTCCTTTCTGCCTTTACTTCCTTCCTCCCTTCCTTCTCTTCCTCTCCTCCCTTCTTCCCTCCTTCCTGTTATTTTTTTTCCTCTCAACAAATTATTGAACACATATAGATTTGGAAAAAGAATACATAAACTTTCCCACACTAGTCTCTTTAAAATACCTTCTGGCAATCTTAAGTCTTCTATTTAACAGACAAAATGGTACCTGGATCCTGGTATTTTGATTGATACCATATACAATTTTGTCAAAGGTTATTTTCTGTGTTTAAGATTTCTTCTTCTGGAAAAAATGTATTTGAACTTTGAAGTCAAGAGAAGAAACGATTAGATGAGGGACAAGTGTATCACTGCTAGGGCAAGGGCAGGGCTGAGAGGAATGGGATTGCTTTCATATATGTACTTAAGATAAATGGGAAATGGGAGAAAAGGCAGGGATTGGCCACACCTGCAAGATGATTGGGAGTCATCTTCAAATTTGCTGCAAGAGAGAGAAGACTCTAGCTCTGCATTGCTTAATATGGTAGCCATTAGACACATGTAGCTTATTCAATTTAAGTTAATTAAAATAAAATAAAATAAAATTTAAGAATCAGTTCCTCGGGTGCACTCATTATACGTCAAGCACTCAGTTGCCACAGGTGCCTTGCGGTTACCTCGGTGCAGAGCTAAAGCAGTTCCATCATCGCAGAGGGTTTAGTGGACAGTGCTGGTCTTGGCAATGGAAGATAGTGATGACGTAGAAGCCCGTTTCTTAAGACTCATGCGAAAATTAAAAAAGAAAACAAGGCTCTTGAATATGTTTCTTTTCCAACTGTAAATTTTTTACCATATAGATAGTGTCCCTACTTTCTGAAATTGGCTCTGGGCTTAATGATGGATTCATTGTTTTTGTTAGAGAAGAAAAGGAGGCATTAACATTAGCTGAGGGCTTCCTATTAGTTGGAACTTTCCTAGGAATACCACACTTACTGTCATTTAATTCTCCCTTTTGTCCTTAGAGTAGTATCATTATCACTGTTTTAAGAAATAAAGGAGGATGACATAGGAAGATTAAGTAGCATGCCTTAAATTGTAAATGTTTGGCTAGGGTAGGAGATCAAATCTAACTCCAATATTTTGCTGTAGTCACATAACTTGTCTTAATGAGTAGTTAACTTATTTGCATATCTATTCTGTTCTATGCAGTTAATATAATAAAAAGGAAACATAATTTAAGTAGAAAACATTATCAGGCATTAAATTTTTAAGTATGAAATGATGGCCTAAACAAGTAAGGTTCTTTAATTTTATCTACATTATTTTACATTGGTATAAATAAATGGACTGCATGAAAGACATATACATAAAATTTATTATTATTATACTTCATTGTTGTACACATAATTTCACATTAATATATGGTAGGTTTTTCCCCCAATGCTTTTGTGATTTAAGATGTAGACATATCTTCATCACTAATGTTTGTTTATATTGCAAAATAATTTGATATAAACTTAACCTTAGCCCTTTACTCTACCAGTTAAGAGTGTTCTGAGCTAGGCTGGCACTGTCCTTAGAGAAACAGCTATAATTAAATTGGTTCTTGGCCATCCATATTTCTGCTACAAAACATCCTCAAAATTATATAATCTCACTATTATGTACAAGCTGATGAGCTTCTAAACTTAAAATTTAATTGAATATAAATGAATAAACAAAACAGAAACATACTCATAGATACAGAGAACAGACTGATGGCAGCAGAGGGGAGAAGGTCTGGAGGCACTGGGTGAAAAAGGTGAAGGGATTGAAAAGTACAGATTGGCAGTTACAGAACAGTCATGAGGATGTAAAGTACAGCATAGGGAATATAGTCAAGAATATTCTAATAACTATGTATGGTGCCTTGTGGGTACTGGAAATATCAAGGGACCACTTTGTAAAGTATATGATTGTCTAACCGCTATGCTGTACACCTGAAACTAATACAAAATAATACCGAGCTTTAAAAATGTTTATTGTAGCCTTGGCTGGTGTGGCTCAGTGGATTGAGTGCCACCCTGTGAACCAAAGCATTGCTGGTTTGATTCTCAGTCAGGGCACATCCTGGGTTGTGGGCCAGGTCCCCAGTCCCCAGTTTGTGCATGAGAGGCAACCACACATTGATGTTTCTCTCCCTTTCTTTCTCCCTTCCTTCTCCTCTGTCTAAAAGTAAATAAATAAAATCTTTAAAAAACATTTATTGTAGATCAAAATAATAAAAACAATCATGAAATTTAAAATCTTAATTTGCTAATTATTTTATATAATATGTCAAACTAATCTCATATTACCATCTAAAATAAACCTTAAAAAACAACTTTGCATATTTATTCTAGTCTTTTTCTGGTGGTTTTCAACCAACAGTGCGGCTAGTCCAAGCCATATTTACTAAATTACGGTTTGTGCAACAGGGTGTGGGTGTGATATTCAGAGTACAGACATTTTTAACAGAAAATCCATCATTTGCCACATCAGTTGTCAGCACAGGTGCCCTGGCTCAAGAGACGCACCCAGTTCTGGGAATGGAAAAGCGGACACAGGACTGTGAAGCAGTTGTCTGCTATCATCTGTGCAGGAAATAGAGATGGCTGAACTTTGAAATAATCCTAATAATTTTCAAACCCTTCTGAGGTTTAGATGGGTTAGTATCATAACTAGAATGGATGTATGTGCCTTAGTTACCTATGTTTGGTAAATTTTAAATTAAAAAGTCTTAACAGAGAGAAAGACATCGATCCTAACACACACCAGCTTTATCCCATTCGGCCAGTTGTAGTTATAAAATACCTTTCACAGTGACTGTCCCTAGGGTAAACAGATTGAACTGTACGGACCAATTAAAAACAAGCTGTAGCAGAGTGACTTTAACAGTATGTTTCCAAGTCCACCAAAAGGAAAGCCCAGAGATACCATAGTTCTTGCTATTACCATAAATATTGAAAATTTGCTGTATTATGAGTGAATCAATGGACTGAATTATGAAGACTGCACTCTTTCAATGTCAATATTAAAAACAAATCTTTGTGGTTCTGTTTTTCCAGAGCTTTTGCCATGAGATGTTTATGATTTTGCCAAAACCCCAACTATATCTGTTTGTTTATTGATTCAAAATGCCACTTCCTCTCCAAAGGGTTTTTGCCACTCTAGTCAGAATTAATTACTCAGTCCTACATCACTTGGGCCAGATCTCTATTCTGGCTCTTATTACATTGATTGTAATTACTCATTTACGTGTCTCTCCCCTCTAGCTTATGTCCTTTTTGATCTCTGTTCCTTACTCCTTGCTAGCTCCTGACACACAGCTCATATCTGAACATGGATAAAATGCGTGGAGCTAAATTTAGTTTTCACGTAGTCTATAGAGGTGTTAGTCAAAGCATGGTCCTGGTGTCATCGGAATGAGAATCACCTGAGTGTTTGCTAGAAGTACAGATGGCTGGGCCCAACAGAAGACCTACTTCAACAGAATCCTCAGGGCAGGGCACAGGACTCTGGAGTTTTAATGAAGACTCTAGATAATTGTTATGCAAATTGAAGCTTTTTGATAACAGCTTTATTGAGATATAATATGCCTACCTTACAATTCACCCATTTAAAGTATGCCATCACAGAGTTTATTTATTTATTTCTATTCACAGAGTTTGCAACCATCACCACAATCAGTTTTACAACATTCTTTTTTTCCCTTTTTAAATTGAATTTATTGGACTGACACTGGTTAACAGAATTATACAGGTCTCAGGTGCAGAATTCCATAACACATCATCTGTACACTGTACTGTGTGCTCAACACCTCAAGTCTCCTTCCATCACCATTTATCTCCCCTCTATCCTTCTCTACCACCCCCAGGGCCCCCACCCCAGGCAGTCCCACACTCTTGTCTGTGTCCATGAGTTACATTTTCTTTATTCCAAAAAACCAACTCCATACCTTCTAGCAGTCATTTCCTATGTCTTCCAACACTAGGCAATCACTAACGTAGTTTCTGTCTCTATAGATTTGTCTATTTGGACACTTCATATAAATAAAATTATACAATGTAAGGTCTTTTGTGATGAATTCTTGCACTGAACATGTTTTCAAGGTTCATCTGGGTTGTAGCATGTATCAGTGCTTCATTCCTTTTTATTGCTAAATAATATTCTGTTGTGTGAATATACTGCATTTTATTTTCCTATTCATCAGTTGATGGACATTTTGGTTGTTTCCACTTTTGGGGCTATTATATGCTGTTAAAAATTTATGTACAACTTTTCTGTGGACACATATTTTCATTTCTTTTGGGTATATGCCTAGGATCAGGTTGCCTGAGTCATACATTAGCTCTAGGTTTTACCTTCTGAAGAACTAGCACACTGTTTTCTAAGTAACTGTGCTTTTTACATCTCTCCTGTGAAGATATGAGGGCTCCAACTTCTCAAAATCCTTACCAACACTTCCTATTATCTACCTCTTTTATCATAAGCATGTGGATATGAAGTGGTATCTCATTGTGGTTTCCAATTCCCTGATGGCTAATGATGGTAAGCATCTTTTCAAATGCTTATTGGCCAGTTGTATGTCTTCTATGGAGAATGTCTATTCAAGTTCTTTGCCTGTTTTTTAAATTGGGTTATTTGGTTTTCTTAATTGAGTTGTAAGAGTTCTTATATATTCTAGATATAAGTCCCTCATTAGATGTATAATTTACAAATGTTTTCTCCCATCTTGTAACTCATCTTTTTATTTTTGGTGGTGTCCTTTAAAGTACAAAACTTTAATTTTGACAGTCAATTTATCTATCTTTTTCCTTTTGTTGTTTGTACTTTTGGTGTCATATATAAGAAACCATTGACTAATTCAAGGCTCTGAAGATTTACATGCATTTTATACCAAGAGTTTTATAGTTTTGAATTTTACCTTTAGGTCTCTGATCCATTTTGAGTTAATATGTATGTGGTGTTAGGCAGGGTCCAATTTTATTTTTTTGCATATGAATATCCTGTTGTCTCAATATCATTTGTTAAAAGTCTATTCTTCCTTCCATTGAATTAACACCCTCAATGAAAATAGGCTACAATGTGTGGTACAATACAATTTTAGAACCATGTATCTCCTAGAGCTTCGAGCTCACCATTATGATAAGAGTCATGCAAGATAAAGTTTTTATAGTTAGACCATTTTAATGGTTACTAGTCTTGGTATTTGTTTGCAACTCCAATTCTGGTGCGAATGTGGAAGTTGTGATGATGGGAAATGGTGAGGCAAGGGTAAGTGGGGGAACGCTTGCACTTTACAACGCAAACTGGTTGATTCCAGAAACTTACTTGGCAAAATGGTCTTATAGCGATTTTTCGTTCCATGACGTGGAATGTCAATTTCCTTGGGATCCACAAAGTTCATTGGTATTTCCTGCAAAAATGAATGATATCAAATTAGTGCATCTAATGCTTCCACAAAGAAAATTTTCACAGGGGGCATCTGATCGGAAGCCCCACTGCACTTCAAAGTCTTCATAAATAACAGACTGCCACCTCTGGTCCGCCAACACCCTTCCTTTCACAAACATATCAGCTGCACCCTGGTAAGCTGACTCCAAGAAACAGTTTTCTGTGTTAGAAAGCATTATTTTGTATGTAGTCATTTAAACAACATACCAAACTTGGCTTAGATTTTAAGAATACTGTTCTGCATAATTGCTGAAAATATATATAAACAGGAAGCCAAAAATTGATATTTTAACAGTGTATTCAAATTTTTTCAAATCTTTATGTAAGTTCAGTACCCAAAATTTCTCTATCATGAATTCTCTTTTAACATTAATTGCAACTCTTTTAAGATTATTAAAACATCCCTCCCTAAAATGGTATAAATATAAAGGGGTTTTTTTGTTGATTCAAGTAATGACAGCATGATGCTTTTTTGTATTAAAGAATGGTCTGTAATTATACTCTTCCTATAGTGCTTGTCAATGCAATACTTCCAGTGAAGGGCATCCACAGTTTTCTCTCACTTAACAAGACTGTAAATATTCTTATTCAGCCAGAAGACTTGTCATGTGCCCTAAATAACCAGAGAAAGCAACCGGAGCAGAAGAGGCTCTGTGGACATGCCCGAGACCCAAGGGGGAGCATCTGCAGCTGGCTGCAGAAAAAACCAGGAAGCCTCTTTTCAAACGGGTTGAAACAAATATTTAAGTATTTGATTATACAAAGTGTTATGTTCTTTAATTTAAAATTCCACAAAAGATTGCTGATAAGATTAATGTGAAATAAAATAACTTTTATCTCTAGATCACATAAAATAATATTTTTGTTACTTAGATGTTCTCCACTGGAAAATATAACTCAAAAGCCAAATATTTATTGAAATGGAGGTATCTATAAATTCATTCAAATTGCCCTAAATTTCAGTCAAGCTAAAAACTTGAGGAAACTTTGACTATCTTACGAGTTTGAGACTCAGCCTGTAAAGAGGAGTAGCATACTTTTAAAATATCATTTTCTGAACTTGCACTATTATAGAATTTATGATATTTATCCCTTCTGTCTGCTGTAACTAAACATGAAAATTCTCAGTCCAAGTTACCAAATAAGCAAAATGGTGGAATAGTCAGTAGAAACCACATGTTCATGTCAGGTGATTTCAAAAAGGTCAGCCTGTTTGGCAAAGCCACGGAGCAGGTGACATCTTTATGCCTCCTGTGTTCCTTCCTGTTTTCTGACTCTCACTGAGAATTTGTCATCTTCCAGCATTATCTCTCTCCTTGGTACTCTGTGTCGGCCCCATCTTTCCTTTATGGGAAGGGTTTATCTTAAAGAACAAAGACTCTCTGTGATTCTAGAAAAGAATAATGGATATACCTTTGGCTAGTTGTGTGATCACTGACTGGATGCTTTATCTCTCTAAGTCTCATTTTCTTTATATGTAAAAATATGACACTACACAGTCTGCTTTAAAAAACTTCACTTTGTATTTTACTTTAAACACTCAATGATCATCAATGAGGCTAATAGTAAATCTAATCCATTGCTGGATCTTTCGCCATTAAAGTGGTTGCAAACATCTAAACTAACATCGAATGATCAATTTATTATTCTCAACAATTATGGCTTAAGATATACCACTGATTTAAGATGCCAAGTGATCCATAAAAAGAATATTCCCCTCGGGCAACAATTAGACCAAAGAAGGTCTAATCTGTCTACATGTTCTGTGACTAGAAATGTGTTTTCATGAATTAAGTTATCATTGGCAACACTGATGAGTCATCATCATTTTTAGCTGAAACCCACAATCATTTTAGCCCACATTTGTTCCTCTCCCGTGTTCATTAAAGAGCACCCTGTTGCTTGAGGTAAAAAACTAAGGTACTATCCCTGTCTTTCCCAAACAGTGATAGCAAGACCATTACTTCATTCTGGAATGCTCTTTTCTGCCCAGCTCGCCCTGCCATTCCTTTGCCTGGTCATCTCCTACATAGTCTGTCTCAAGTCAGTTACCACTGACTTGAACATCCTAGTTTGAGTACATCAGTAGTTGATGAGCTTCAGGGTGGATCTAAAACCCTTGCACTTAACCTTGTGAACAGTAACCATTTGTTGAATGTTCAGTGGAGGGTCATACTATTTTATTGTGTGTGTCTAGTGCCTAGTTTATCAAAATACCTCATGAAGGATGAATAATACACAACAGGCTCACCATGAATTCACTTTGGAGTAAATGTGAACTTGCCACGACGTCCCTCAGCTGTGATCTTGTGAGAATGCGGCTGGCTGACTGAAGATACTCCATTGCAACCTTCTCCCGTGGGGTTGGTATAGCCACAAAGGGTTCAACATTCCCCAGGCTACTCATGTCCAAAGTCAGAGACACATTGGACCCTCGTCTACATTGGAGAAAAATGTTATTAAATTTAAACACTGCATGAATTATTTTGATTGCACAAAACTGTCTTTCTGTACCTATACACAATTCAGTGAGTACTTTTGCAGAAAGAAGGACCAAATACCTTTTGTTCTTATGGCACCATAGTTGAGTATAGCAATTATCTATAGTTTCTTTATAAGAAACTGACAATTTCATTGTTGGAAATAACTCTGAATTGAAAAAGTGCACTATAATTTATTAATTGATATATTATAGAAATAATAGGATGGCTAGTCATAGTAAATGAAAGTTTTAGGAAAAGTGAATATCACATTTGAATTGAGGAATCAGGTATAACACAAAACCAACACTAGTTATATGTATGTCTGAGAGTCCTATTTATAAATCATACAACTCTCTGATATTTTTGACACGAATATTCTGTAGTCTTGATCTTACTGGACATGGAAAGCTTGGAGGGGAAAGAATCCTTTTATTTTAGTTCAAATTATTGCCATTGAAAAATAATTTAAAGGTTTAAAAAAATATATATATTTTTATAACTTTAAATGAATCCTTGAAAGATTGTGTCTGCATTCTCCATTTATGTATGTATGTATATATGTATGCATGTGTGTATATATTTGCACATGTATGTATGTGTTTATTTAACTCCATGATAAGCCTATAAGGGGCGGTGGAGATCCTGAGTGACACTGTGTCTTCCCTCTGTAATTTTTCTCCTTTTGTTGGGAGGTGAGGTAGGACTTTGCCAGCCCTACCTCACCTCCCAACAAAAGGACCCTTGCACACTGAACAGAAAATATGAATGCCTCTTACCACAAACATTAGCTGTGTGGAACCCAGGAAAAACTATAAAATAGACTGAGGGTCAATGTCAGAGATTGTGTTAACAAGAATTGTTCAATTGAAAGAGGCCTAGGTGTGTCAGGTGATTACATCTGGTGCCAAGGGGTTGGTGTCCCATGGAAAAGGAGAGCAGGGTAAAATAAGGCAGGACAAGTGGGAATAACAAGAGTAAGAGTAGATAGTAGGCCCGGCAGAGGATTTCCTGTGAATGACATTTTACATGCTTATTATAGAGTACTACATCAGAAAATATTCAAACCCGGCTGGTGTGGTTCAGTGGATTGAATGTAGGCCTGTGAAACAAAGGGTCACTGGTTCAGTTCCCAGTCAGGTCACACGCCTGCATTGTGGGTAAGGACCCTAGAAGGGAACATTCGAGAGGCAACCACACATTGATGTTTCTCTCCCTCTTTCTCCTTCCCTTCCCCTCTCTCTAAAAATAAATTAATAAAATCTTTTAAAAAGAAAAAAGAAAATATTCAAGAAGCTAGAGCTTAATTTTAAACAATAGAAAATTATTAGAACATACAACAAAAAATCTCATTAAACAAAAACATATCAGTTCCTTCCTCCTATGTGTCTGCCTCTGATTGCAGCTTTGGTGCCATTCTATAATTCGATGTTATGTTGTCATTTTTGTTCATTTCTAAATGGTTTGTAGTTGTGGTTTTAATCCCCGCTTTTACTTGATGGTTACTTAAGTGTTTGCACTTACTTTTTTCCTAGTGGATTTGCCAAATCCTGAGATATGTATGTGAGTCTTTCACAATAATTGTGTTTGTTTTTTCCCTTTATTTCTATTAGTTTTTACTTTGCATATTTTAAATATTGCATTCCTTGAAAGATTCATAATTATGTCTTCATTGTATATTTTATCAATATTAAATATTTTATTTTTTTAAGAGCTTTGATTCTTTTTTTTAAAGATTTTATTTATTTATTTTTAGAGAGGGAAGGGAGGGAGATAGAGAGAGAGAGGGAAACATCAATGTGCAGTGGGGGCCGTGGCCTGCAACCCAGTCATCTGCCCTGACTGGGAATCGAACCTACGTCACTTTGGTTTGCAGCCCGCACTCACTCCACTGAGCTATGCCAGCCAGGGCTAATATTAAATATTTTCTCATTAATTTTATGTCTGGCCTCACATCTGACTTTTAAATAAATTAATATTGACATTCTGGCTTTTTGTGGCATGTTCTTTGCCAAACCTTTTTCCCCTATTATTGTTTTTTACTCCTTTGGATCACTGCATTAGAGAGTATTGGACAGCATTCTGGACACCCATCAAATATCACCTGCCAGTGGGAGGGATGTTTGCCCTTTTCACTTTTGGAGTGTGTGTGTGTGTGTGTTGGTGGTGAGTGATGGGGCTCCTTATTTTGGGGCAAAAGGTAAACAACTGAAGAGGAGCAGAGACCGACTCTGCTATTGGGTTGAGAATTTTAATCCATTTTTCATGGGAAAGCAGTATTTAAAGTTTCTCAATCCAATTCTCCTGGCCTTTAAATTGGCAGAAATTCCTTCCTGATTCTGATAATAGTTTGTTTATTAGTTTTAGTTTTTAGTGTATTTGTGAGAATCTGTTTTTTTCTGGTTTCACAGGTATTTTTGTGAGGAGTTGGGAGAGGCTGCTGAAGGGATTGCCAATTGCACGCCACTTTAAACCATTACTCTATTCAGTCAATCTTCAGTTCCAAAAGTCAAAAGTATCTGCAATGTGTCAGCCAAGTGACACCCGGGGCCACAGTGGTTTAGTAGAAGGTGAGGTCTTGTCCATTCAGAGTGCTCGGGGCACATGCTTGAAGGAGGGGGCCTTTGCACTGGGCCTTGAGAGGAAAAGCTCAGTGGGCACATTTTGGGTCGAGGGTTATTTCTGACAGAGTCTGGCAGGAGAAAAAGTGTGGGAACAGGAAATGATAAGACATCTTTGAGAAATAGCGTATAAGCATTTTTTTGGAATTGAGGGAATAGGTTATGTGGAAGAGATAAGAGAGAGGCAAGAATCATAGAAACTGTAAGACCAGAAGAAGTCTGCCCAAACCCAGAAGAGAGAATTCAGAACATCAGGTTATAGCAACCTGTTTTGGCTTCCCACAGCATACCCAGCCCACACCTGGGATTAAAGGGGGATCTCCAGCCTAATGTCCATCTGATCTAGTGAGTTAATTTCGTAAGGGCTCTGTGATAAACTGAGAAAAAACCATGAAAGCATTTTCAGGTAAACTAACTTACTAAAGGAAGAATGACTTTTGTCCAGCAAGAGAAGAAAGAAAGGAAACTAATATTTATTAAACACCAGTTATTCGCCAAGCACTGTTCTAAGCACTTCGCATATGGTACTTCAATTTTCACCACCGCTGAGGTATTACTTTCACCCATTACACAGGTGAAGAAATAACTAATTTAGGAACACAATAGTGGAGCAAACATTTAATTCAGCTTTGAATTTAAAACTTTGGTAGGCTATGTCTGCTTTGTCACCCAAAAGCAAGGGGAGGGTGGGTAGGTTATGTTAGACCATACAGTTCCCTCTATGAAGTCAGTTGTTGGGGGGAAGGTCAGTATTTCTGAGGTATACTGTGCAAGCAATACAACATTCAGGGGTAAGAATTCGGTCTTTGCAATCATGTTTTTCTGGGCTGCCTCTCCCAGTCCCTGTGGTAGACCTTTGGTCAGGCTATTCATCCTTGTTTCAGCATCTGCAAAGTTACGCCTATCATTAAATTTAAGTAAGAATGAATAAAGTTCTACATAACTTTCACCTACTGTTTCTCTCAGGGATCTATTTTAAGAGATCTTCACATAAACTTGAAATTGTTTATACTGAGATTAGCTTTAACATTTGGAAAACAATGGATGGAATCTACACATCTGTTACTAAAGAAAAATACATCCTTCTTGATTACCTATTTATCTTAAAATTTCCCTTTATTGTGACAAATCCATTTCCCCTGAACCCTAAACAATTCCTGAGCACTTCACCTCAACACCTCGGACAATGTCTCCAAGTTCAATTATGAAGTTAAACTTGCACAGGCTGTTGACCTTAGAGAGAGCCTTTTCCATGTGGTGGCCCTTGCATGTTAAGTGCTCTCCCATCCTGGCTGTGAAATGTTACCCCAGGGTGTCGTTACCTTGGAAAAATCTCTGCTTTGGTTAATTCTTACTTTCAAGGAGCAAACAATATTTTTAGGTTTATTGAAATACAGTGGAATTTAGGAAACTGTATCAGTAAAATTGACTTAAAAATTTGGAAACTTCGTCATGTCTTGTGCTTGGAGAGAAGAGATTAAATATACATCCATATAGATTTTAAAGGGTTACTTTTTCATTATAAAAACAGCATGCTTATTGTAAGGAATTTATATAATCTAGAAATTTTAAAAAAGGGATTAAAATCACTCAGTCACATAAACTTCATTAGCATTAAAAATGACTTGAATTTTGCTATTTTATAAGTGGTAATGGTAGTGGTTTATTGTTTTAATTTTTCTGCCTTTGGTGAGAAATACATTTTCACATGCTCATCCATTTGTTGCTCATTATCTTTGAGAATTGTCCTTGCTCTTGCTTAATGTTTCTATTTTGGCATTAATGTATTTATTATTGATTACTATTATATAAGATATTAATTATTTTTCAAACTTATCCATTGCAAATATGCAGTTTATTACTGCCTTAAAATACTAAGGATTTTTTAAAAGTTACATTTATATTTATTTAAACATATTTATCTTTTCTTATGTTGGTTCTTACATCAGTTAACTTCTTCTGGAAGTTAAGATTTTTAAAAAGTTAAACTTTTAATGTATTTGTAATTTAGTTTGGGATATAGTAAAGGTGAGAGTCACCTAGGTGTTTTTTTTACCCCCAAATAAATTACCAATAATTCTAACACAATTTACTGAACAATCTTGAGAAGGGCTAATCTTTTTATATATGAGAATATTAAGTTTTTAAGTAGCATCACTGGCTAATGATCTGGAGAAAAAAATAACACTTTACTGAGCTGAGAGAACATGAATTTGTTCCATAGCACTCGTGAACCAAGATAGTAAGCAATGAGGATAGACTCAAGAAGACATTTTAAAAATAACACAAATATAAGAATTTAAAAGAAAATTCAAATTAAGACACAGGAAAAAATCT